AATGTACAGGGTGGTGAATGTTGGTTGAATGTACAGGGTGGTGAATGTTGGTTTAATGTGCAGGGTGTTGAATGTTGGGTTAATGGACAGGGTGTTGAATGCTGGTTGAATGTACAGGGTGTTGAATGTTGGTTGAATGTACAGGGTGTTGAATGTTGGTTGAATATACAGGGTGTTGAATGTTGGTTGAACGTACAGTATGAAAAAAAAGAGTAGTCACATTACTAAAGGTTCACTTGTCTGTTTCTTACTGCTGAGAACAGTCCAGTAGCAACATTACTAAAGGTTCACTTGTCTGGTTCTTACTGCAGAGAACAGTCCAGTAACCACATTACTAAAGGTTCACTTGTCTGGTTCTTACTGCTGAGAACAGTCCAGTAACCACATTACTAAAGGTTCACTTGTCTGGTTATTACTGCTGAGAACAGTCCAGTAACCACATTACTAAAGGTTCACTTGTCTGGTTCTTACTGCTGAGAACAGTCAAGTAGTCATATTACTAAAAGTTCAATTGTCTGGTTATTACTGCTGAGAACAGTCAAGTAACCACATTACTAAAGGTTCACTTGTCTGGTTCTTACTGCTGAGAACAGTCCAGTAACCACATTACTAAAGGTTCACTTGTCTGGTTCTTACTGCTGAGAACAGTCAAGTAGTCATATAACTAAAGGTTCACTTGTCTGGTTCTTACTGCAGAGAACAGTCAAGTAACCACATTACTAAAGGTTCACTTGTCTGGTTCTTACTGCTTTGGGTTCATGGCCCAACATGCTGTAATGTAAGTGTTGTTAGGATCAACAAAAATTATCAGGTTAATTCATGTTGGCAAAGTAAATTGATACAATGAGAGTGTTATATAAACAGGTCAGTAGAAGTGTCTGTATACCAGAAAGGTCAGGTTAATTTCAAGATCTTTCCAGATAAAAGAGAAGGCCCTTGAACTGGCAGAAATTACTGCTCACGTACAACAGTTACGAGAGGAACTGAACAAATCAGAAGAACAGATTCAACAAATAAATCGGGAGCTTGAAAGGTATTTTCCTGTTTTCCTAATAACCCAAATAACCTGTGAGCTAAAATAATAACGTATTTAATGAAAGGCACTGGTTTATATTAACATGGATGTAGATAATACCTGTTCTTAATTAGAGTACTTTGGTTGTACAGGTAAACATTATATGCTGACATCCTTTATAACGGGGAAAGCTCATAAGTGGGTCTTATCTTATCAAAGTCAAATAGCTGCATTTATATAAATATAATAGTACTGTATGTTATCTATATAAATATAATAGTACTGTATATTATCTATATAAATATAATAGTACTGTATGTTGTATGTATCTATATAAATATAATAGTACTGTCTGTTATCTATATAAATATAATAGTACTGTCTGTTGTAAGTTATCTATATAAATATAATAGTACTGTCTGTTGTAAGTTATCTATATAAATATAATAGTACTGTCTGTTGTATGTATCTATATAAATAAA